GTGAAACTTATCAAAAACTCTTTAGATTTACATTGGAATCATCATTCTCTTTGCTTGTAAATGTGATATGTTGGGTTACCCTTGATAAAATGAGTCATGTTTGGAAGACACAGGAAAGTGATTTTACTCTCTGAGAAGTAAAAAAGAAGCTTGCTTTCTAGCTCAGGGACTCAGGCATACTATGACTGTTAGATGCATTTTCACTTAGGATACAGTAATCAGTTGTTAATCAGTGTCTAATTATTCTCTTATTGGGGAGGATACATCTGGTTAGTGATAATTCAGGTGAGTCTCCAATATGGGGGTATAGGGGGGACAAAGTAGCAGATACAGATGGAGCAAAAGTCACCTGAGGACATGTGAAATTCTCTTCCCTGTGGGTATTGTCCTGCATATGACAAGATCTGACCTACTTAGGTCAGATTAATACGACCTTGCTGCTAGTGATTACTCTGGACATTTATGTAATGTTACCCTGGACATGTTTCATATCCATTCTCTTCAGATAAACCAGAAGCATATTTAATAAGCCAGGAAAACAAGTTGTAAGCCAATGATGACTTTTATATAAATATATGTGTATATATTTATATTCCCTCTATGATTGACAGCTGCAACTACTCAGTAATTTCCTCTTGCCACTCTCTTGTGTATATACTGCTGACTGAAGTTCTGTCTATACTACTTAAATATACTGGACTTGTGTCTATAGGACTTTACATACATACTGTCTCTGACCAGAATTCTCTCCTTTGCTATTTTCATGTGTCTCATTCATTTATATACTTCTTCATGCAAATGTTACACCCTCGGAGGAGCCTTCTCCAGCTACCCTTTTCTAAAACAGCTTCTCTTGAATTTTTTGCTTTAACTTGCTTTGTTTTCTCAGTATCCATTATCTGAAATTAATTTATTTTTTGTCTGTTCTTCTATAGGAATGTAAGTTTCATTAGAACAGAAACTTTTTTTTTTTTGTCTGCTCTTTAACAGGAAAGTAAGTTCCATTAGAGAAGAAGCTTTTTATTATCACTATGTAGATGAGTATCTAGCATGTTATGAAACCTCAAAATATCTATATTATATACCCATATTTTAGACACTATGGAGGTAGAGGTACCAGGAAAATATCAGTCATTAACAAAGTAGCTTGTCAAAGAGAGGAGGGTGCCTGGTATAACCAAGTTTGGGTATTTTTAACACCTCTCCCTAAGTACCATATTCCTTTAATGCATTTATTATTCACTTTCATAATCCATGTTAACATCAATATCAAGGCATCTTTTGAAATGTGATACTTTTAAAAATTCTTGTAAATTCTACTTTTTCTATTTATGAAAAAGAAAAACATAAAAAATACTCCCTTACTACCAAAAGTAATTGACTGGAAGATCATCCTTATATCTATTCAAAAAATGCCTTTTTTTCTCCTAGTTAAAAATAAAATAACCAGGGTAAAATGGAACCAGTAATAGCTTCTGAAGATATAGGGTATCCATTTGATCGTGTTTGCTTTAGATGGCTCTATTTTTTATAATCTTATCTCACTTCAGGTTAAATATTAGCAATAGGAAAAAATGAGATTTGGGAATTGAGGCAAAATATTACAGAAATTTTTAGAAAAATAAACATGTTGACACTTTGTGGCATAGATACTACTGATTATTATTACCTAGTGTTTTCTTTTTAATCTTCAAAAAAATGAAGTTTTATAACAAAAAAATTGACTAGATAATGCCTTCATATACTAGAATGCTGATGGATAAAAAGATCAATATGTAATAACTTTGAGACAAGCTACCCATAATTTTTTGGTTGTTTCTTTTGTTGTTGTTTGCAGTGCTGAGCATTGAACCTAGAGCCTTCTGCATGATAGGCAAGTGCTCTACCACTGAGCTACAACCCCAGCTCCTGTTTTGTTTTTGCTTTTGGTTTTTAGGTGAAAAATAGTTATCCCTGGAATATGAGATTTAGTGGGACTTGGGGGGTTTCTTCAGTTTCTTTCATATGTTTGCTTGTCTTAATTAAAATTACTGCTTGGAGCTAGGAACCGTGCGTGGCACATGCCCGTAATTACAGCTTCTTTAGAGGCTGAGACACGAGGATTGTGAGTTCAAAGCTGGCCTCAGCAACTTAGCAAGGCCCTAGGCAACTCAGCGAGACCTTGTCTCTAAATAAAATATAGGGGCTTGGGATGTGGCTCAGTGGTGAAACATTCCTGGGTTCAATCCGCAGTACCAAAAAGAAAAAAATTAGAACTTGGTTTTCTTAATAGAAAGTATATTAAATGTGGAAACATTTTTCCCTCCTGATAATTTAGAATTCCTTCAGTATATTATGAACTGATAACCATTTTTTCTTCCCCTTGGGTACCATGTAGAATTTTCTGAAAAAATTGGAACAATCTTTTATGTGTGTTTGCTGCCAGGAGCTAGTTTACCAGCCTGTGACAACTGAGTGCTTCCACAATGTCTGTAAAGTAAGTAGAATTCCCCTCTCACTTTACCTTGATAGGGCTGAAAGAACACTAAACTGTATACCTGCTTTAGCACATGAAGAAGCATTTTTTCATGAAGGAGAATAGGAACATTACCTGTTAAGAATGTTAAGGGACATTACCAGTTAAGAAGCATTTAATTACATCTTTGTAGTAATTTAAGGTAATAATAATTTTAATATATTAACATATATTATTTGAAATAAAATAATTCTAATATAATAATATAAATAATATACAAATATATTTTAATAATACAATACTAATATATTATTTGAGGTATTCTACTATTTTTGGAATTATTGAAGAGGGATTGAAATGGAAAAGAAACTAAGTATCATTGCTCCTTTCTATGTAATAGCTTATATATGTTTTATATATTATAGTGCAAACTAAAATTATTTCATGCACTTAATTTTTAAAAATCTAAAATAGTTTTACATACATAATACTAAAATCTAAAAAGCATCCTGTTTCTGTAGGATGTTCAAATTAATTGAGTATGGTGTTATCAGTGTGGTATAAAAGGAAAATTTGAGTTTTAGTCAAGCCAAAGTTGGAATCTTGTTTACTGATTGATGGTTTTGTACCCTGACCTAATTTCAGAATTTTAGTTTCCTTTGTAAAATGGAAACAAACCTCCTTCAAATGTTATTGTGCCTGACCTTGTGTTAATTCTCTATTTTTAGTACAGCTAAATATATTTTTGGAAGATCCTTTATATGTAAAGCAACTTGATGAAATATGTAATTTAGTTTTCAGCAAGAGAATTCCAAAAAAAAATTTTTTTTACTTCTTTAGGGCTCTCTCAGAAAAAAACAAGACTAAAATCCAACATAAAATATTAGACTAATGGAACCATACATACTCTCTAACACCATTATTTTACTGAATAAAGAAATTGAAACACAGAATAGTTAAATCATTTACCTAAACTCTCACAATATGTGTCAGGTGGAACTAAAGTCATGACTATAGTGCAGATTCAGGCCTTGATGGCTGTTTGTATATTTCTCTTGTTAACAAAAATTAAACTTCAGATTTCTGTTTAAAAGCCTAAGATGGTGAGTTCATACTTGACCCTCTGATGGAATTGTGTGTGTATTTGTGTGGTTCTTTTTTGTTTTTACCTTAGGATTGCTTACAGCGTTCTTTTAAAGCCCAAGTTTTCTCCTGCCCTGCTTGTCGGCATGATCTTGGCCAGAATTACGTCATGATTCCCAATGAGATTCTTCAGACTCTACTTGACCTTTTCTTCCCTGGATACAGCAAAGGACGATGATCTGCCTGCTTCTGTGTTATTCCTGGTAGCTTCTTGGACAATAAAGAATCTAAAATGGTTGGGGAGGGTGGAAGCAGTGGTGGACCATTTCTCTCACGTTCTGAAGCAGCTATTCCTCTTTCCTACATAGCCATCATCTTGTGTGTAGTAAGAGGCCCATTTCTCAACTGTCTTTTAAATATCAAAAAGGTAGTTCCTGTCAGTAACAACTAGTTTAATGAGTTAAAAAGTCAAAGCTTCAGCTCTAGTTGATATCCAAGTTATGATTTATTTTGCAACTACCTCAGGACAGAAAAGATTTATGGGGATTTTAAAAATCATTGAATAATTAGTTAAATGAGATTTTAGCTACACACTGCCTCCCAAATATTAGTTGTGCCTGGTTATTGTAATTTGATTTTACAGAAAAGGAGATGACACTTGAGATTCTTGGAATGAACGCAGCTTCTTTATTATGCATACTACTTTTTTTAAAATGTCTTTTCCTCCATTACAAGTGTGTGTTTTGCAAAGAAAGTTCATTTTTTAGCCCATTTTGTGAGCTCCATTGTGCTTTTTTTCCTGGTGTTTTATGCAAGTTGACTACTAATGACTAATGAGAACAATATGAATGCATTGTTGCTGCATTAAGTGTAATGTGGTGTGGTTTTGCAATTAAAAGAGGTATTCTGATGTTCTAGTTGTAAATGTTCATAAAAAGCCACTTCTGTACTAGTCAAACTGCTTGTAGTGAGTCTCACCAGTGTTTTTACATCTGCAGAGTATTGAGGGCTGCGCTAACTTTTGAGAGGTTTGAAATCGCTTCATATTGTGATCCTAAATTTTATATTCACTATATTCCTTTAAAGTATACCTTAATAAATATTTTATGATCAGAAAACGTTCATTTTGCTTTACTTTTCTACATTTTTCTGGCTTATATTAGGGTTTTTAAGGATCAATTATTTCCAGAGATTTTTGTTAGATGTCTTTATTGAGACAGACTTCTTTTTTTTTAAAAAAAAACCCTGAATTTAATAATGAGAACTAGAATGAAGTCTTAAGCACTAAGGACAAATTTCATCCTCACCGATTTTTTTTTATTCTTACTAAAAATGGGAAATTTTTCAAAATAAGAACACAGTGACTATTCTTTGATCTGTAACCTCTAATATAATGAATGAGTGCTTATTTCAGACATGAATATTTTAAAACATTGTACTACTCGTTATACTGTTGTATTTTCATCAGAGAAAATTTTAGATGCAACCGAGTGAGTTTTCTCACCCCTAGAGTCATAGATACATATATCTATAAATAGACATAGTTATAGATAGATAGGTAACCAACATTTATTGAATATTTAATCTCTGCTAGTTACTTGTACATTTTTATGTGTATTTGTTTGACCCTACAAAACAACTCTAAGAGGCAGGTATTATTACACCCATTTTTGGATGAAACTCAGTGGCATGGTGAAATTAAATAACTTGCCAAAGGTTATAATTTACCAAATAAGTGGCAGAACTGTGCTGTAAGCTTAGGCAGTCTGGTGATCTTTACCTTCCACTACATAGGCTCTCACCCTTGAATATATAACATATGAGTTTCATTGCTTTCCTGCATTCAATTAAATTCAAAACTGGGTTCTGAGAAACACTTATAGCATAGTGATTAGGAGATGACAATGATTCCAACATTGGTAAGTTATCCCCAAATTTGTGAAGAATTAAGTTTAATTAGAGTCTTCTTAGATTAAAAGTTGTTCATTAAGTTGTATTATCAGTGCTGCATTTATATTAAATGAAGGGTGGGAAATATCCCCAATTTCAGCTATTTAAACTAGTTTAGGCTGATGCTTTTGTTAGCAAAATAACTAAATCTCATAGTTATATGTTTTCTTAATTGTGCTATTATAACATGACAGAATAGGAGAAAAGGCTGCTTATAGCTTAACACATTCGTAAGTACCAAGAATGGCCCAAAGGTAAGATGTGTGTGTGTGAGAGAGCTTTTTAATTTTTTCTTTTTACATAAATACTGTAGTTTGTGCTTAGGGACTTTAAGAAGAAAAACCACAATACTATTGTCACACATTTTTTTTTATATTTATTTTTTAGTTTTCAGTGGACACAACATCTTTATTTTATTTGTATGTGGTGCTGAGGATCGAACCCAGCACCCCGCGCATGCCAGGCAAGCCCGCTACTGCTTGAGCCACATCCTCAGCCCCATATTGTCACGTGTTTTTAAAAAATAAACTAATTTCTTTACATCATCTAGTATCTAGTAAATGTTCCAATTTCCTTTGTCCTGAGTGTTGGGTATTTTATTTTTAGTTGGTTTGTCTGAATTAGGGATCCAAATAAAGACCTCACATTGTGATTGCTGTCACTTACGTATTTTTAAATCTATATATGTCCCCTTAATATTTATCCTCTTAAATCTTCTTTTTTCTCTCTTTATTTACCATTTATACTTTGCATGTTGAAATTGAGTTGGTCCTGAAATGCTTCTGAACAAATAAATTTAGGTGAGGTAGCCTTTTGGTGTAGCTTAAATGTTTATTTTCTGTGAATTGGTAGTAGAATTAAATCATGATCTGATTTGGATTTGACTTTGGGGAGGGGGTAAACTTTATAGGTTGTATGGTTGTCCTTCAGGAGATATAATATCTGAGGGTCTGTAAGGCTTAAGTTTGAAAGATGAGCTTTAAAAATAATCTGGAATTTAATACACTTAGTTTATCAGACATACATGCGCGCGCGCACACACATACACATACACACACACTCCCACACACGCGACAGTTTAGCTAAAAGAAAGGGCCTTACCTCTTTACTTATGGCTCTGGATTTCACTATATAGCTTGCTTTACAAGAACTGGGTAGAGTTCTGTTCTGCCTTACTCATTGCCTGCTATTTTCTCATTAAGGATCAAACCTTTCCCCAGAATTAAGCTTAATGGTCCATTTACCCCTAACATACATTGAAAGAGTTACTCTTGCTTGCCCACTGAATTCTTGATCCCCACAACTGGACTTTAAGAATGCCTGAATGGACCTGATATCTAGTAACCTGGTTTAATATGATCCTATATTGGGAGAGTGGGGGTGGGGAGATTAACCAAAAAAACTTAAATACCAGTCACTGGATATAAGAAATTGAAAACTACTCAGAAGGACCAAGCAGACAGATGACTGCCATTGAAAAACTGAATGAAAGAATAGGGCTGGAGATGTAGCTCAGTGGTAAGAACACTTGTCTTGCATGTGTGAGGTTCTGGGTTCAATCCCCAGCACCAATGGGGAAAAGAAGAAAAAAAAAAGTTTTACAACTATATCCTAAAGTATGAAGTTGTATTTATAGAGTAAAAACAAGCTATGTGAAGAGTAATTTGAGAATAAGAGTCTCTGAACTAAACATGATTGTATAAATAAATGCAACAGACAAAACAGAATGGATACTGCCAAAACTTGAATGTATTGCCAAGTAATTTGTTTCGTATGGATATGCCACAGTTTATCTGTTCATCTACTGATTGATATTTGGGTTGTTTCCAGGAGTTTGCTGTTATGAATAAAGCTGCTATGAACCATCATATGTAAGTCCTTGGAAAATAGTTGGACAGTTTCTCTAAAAATTAAATATGCACTTACCATACAACTCATCCATTTCACTAATAGTTATATACTCAGAAAAATAAAGACATGTTCAAAGTGATTTATGCCATTATATATTCATGCCAGCAGTGTTTGAGAATTCTGGTTGCCTCATTCTTGGTTTTATCATTTCTTGTAATTTTTAATCATTCTAGAGAGAATGTAGAGAGAGCAAGAGATGAGTGAATTAAATATTGGTGACAGGAGTGGATTGTGGTAGTTATCTGTTCAAGTATTTTTGAAATGTTCAAATATTTCTGGATTTGAAGCATACATGATAGGATTATACTTCCTAGTCTTCTTGTGTTTGGGTAGGGCCATGTGACCGGCTAACAAATATTATAGTTTGGATCTTTTTTTAAAAAAAAAAAATATTTTAGTATGTTCAATAGTAACATGCCCCTTAAAGTTTGTATAAAGTTACTCTGAAAAACCACATTCGTGAAAGTTTTTACATTTGTCAAAGGTAATTTTGCTTAAGAGGCTGTTGTTGTTATACTTACTTGGTTTTATTAATTTGCATGCATGCTTATTTACCATATGGCTAAGCAGATCTTCTGGATCATTTGTTTTATGTTGACACAAATACTGTTCTTTACAACTGTAATGCAAATGTAGAGTTCGCTCACACCAACAGAGGTGAACGCTAAAGTGGGCTTCTGCAATGTGCTGAGGTTCTCAAAAATTACTGTCCTATAATTACAGTTTACAAATGTAGGGATTTTCTTCATGTAGTTTTGCATGTTTAATCAGAGGCATGTTCGTACAGAAGCTTTCCTTGTATACTCAGCACACATTTGAATCAGTATGTTTGTGCTGCAGCTCATATGCTTTTATAAATCAGAAAAAAAATGTTTACTGTTGAATTCACAAAGTTCACCTTTATAGAGGCCACTGCTATAAGATCTCAGTAAAGGCCATTTCTGCTGGGCAGTCACATTCAGAGCTTGTCTCTTGTCAAGAATTTTACAAAGTTTAGTGATTTTTTTATCAGTTTGTTCTTGGAGATTCTCAGGGGAATTGTCTTCTGTCAGTATGTCATCATCCTCAGAAATCATATATATTTTGAAACAATTGGGACATCTTCAGCAATGTGAACTTTTGTAGGACTCTCCTCTTGAGTTTGCTGGTTGATTGATTTGGATGAGTCACACTCTTCATCACAAATTTCTACATTAGATTTTTTGCCTCACTCCACATCTGCTCTGCATACCTCCTAGTGTGGATCTTGAATCCACTCCAAAGGTCTATATGTTGAAGTCTTGGCCCCAGTCCATAGGAGGTGGTGGAACCTTTGGAAAGTGGTTCTAAGAGAAGGAAGTTGAGGTCACTAGAAGCATGCTGCTGAAGGGGATATTGGGACGCCTTTTTCCTTTCTGCCCACTATGAGAGGAATAGCCCTCTTCTGCCGCACACTCCTACCATGATGTACTGTGCTACTCAGGCCCAAAGCAACAGGGCCAAGTGGCTATGAACTGAAAGCTCTGAAATTATGATCCAAAATAAACCTTTTTCATTGTTAGTCACTTGATGGTCTCAGATATTTTGTCACAGTAACAGAAATCTAACATGGAAAATTGGTACCAAGAATGGGATTATTACTGTGACTATTCCTGATGATATAGTTTAGAAGCTTTTGGCATTAGTTTGTGGAAGAGTATGGAAAAGTTTGGAGAAGTGAGCTAGAGGAAGCCTAGAATGCAGTAAAAGGAGCTTAATAGGTGATTATAATAAGGACTTAAAAAAAAACAGAATGCTGATAGAAATTCAGACAGTAAAGGAAATGCTCATGAAGTTTCATGATGGAAATAGACTCAATTGGAAATTGCACTAAAGGCCATCCTTTTTACACTGGCAAACAATTTGGATACAACTATATTTGTATATTGAGACTTTGTGGAGCAGAGTTGAAAGGTGATAGACTAGTTTATCCAGTGGAGGAAATTGCAAGTCAGCAAACTATGCAGGCAGTGATATGGCTATTACTGGATGGTTTTTAGCCAAACGTTATAAGTATCAGGAGCAAGGGAAACAGCACAAAACTTTGGAAAACTTTCAGATAACTATAAAAGGAGTATGCTCTAAGGTGCTTCCAAGGATGTGAAGTTGCTCAAGAGGTTAACATCATTAAGATTGCAACTACTTTGCACCAGGACAATAGGAAACATACCTTGAAGCCATCTCAGCAGTTCTCACTATTTAAATGAAAGTATAAACTCATTGCTACTTCTGCAGGACTGCTT